CTATCTAAAAATTCAAATTTTGTGCCATGTATGATGTATTCAAGAAAAGTATAAGACAGAAGCCTAAGATTTAAGATTTCACTAAATTAGAAATTGAGGATACATTTTCTTTTTCTCATGCATTCTCATCTTCTTGTTTGTGTTTTGGATTGACATTTTAAATCACGGTTTAGATCCGTGATAGTGTTATGACGGCGGCGATGATAGCACAATAGTCGTGTGATAGTGGTATGGTGTTTGCGATAGCAGTGATTGTAGCACGATATTAGTGCGATGGTGGTTAAATGTTATGTTACCCACTTTGTTACAGGCGGTGGAGGACACCCATTGGCGTTTGAGCTATTTTTTGCTAGGATATATGAAGTTATAATGGTGAAAAATTGGAAATGTATGTATTACCATACAAGTGACACGTGTAACGTGTTACCTTACTATTGATGACAATATTAGTGAAATTTGAACGATAATGGTGGTGTTTGAGAGCTTGATTATGTTCATGGTGGCAACGACGATGGTGGAAGGTGTCGATTGACAGTATTCGGATTGTTTTTGAAATGTGTAATGGAAAAGTTAACCTTTTAAAAGAAAAAAAAAATCACGCCACCATTAGTAACAAGTTAGCTTTAGGGGCTAATGAAAAAATTGTTAACCTGTCAAGTTAAATCGAAATTGCGATTTAAAATTGTTGATTTAAATCAAAGTGTTTAAAATTTTGACTATTTCTAAATGAACTAAACCGTTTGGAAAATTGTTCAACTACTTTCGAAAGTTAAAAAATGCTTGAAACCAGACTTAAGCATTCACCGAATTTTTTTAAAAAGGATTAGATGTTTTAAAGTTTAACAAAGATATATTTATTGGATTAATTTATACTTTAAACAAAATTTAATTGTTAGTCGATTTCCATTGACTATTTAGGAAAATAATATTTTATTTACGAGAATATTTTCATCATCTAAATAATGAAATTAAAAGCTTAAATTTGATGGTTGAGCTTTTTATTAATTTATTTGTTTAAGCTTGTATTGACACAAAAATTGGCCTCATTTTTTTTTTCTTTTTTTTTTTCTTTTTGGTTCCTAAGAGTCATTCTTAACCTTATAAGTTGACAATAAATTGATATTGGATAGTATTCATAATTAAATGGCATATTTTTTTTATTGAAAAGTAGAATATAATTATATTCTAATTAAAATGGAAAATGAAAAGTAAAAGAAATAAATCAACCCACCTCTACAGTGGCGTGGGTTGTCCCTTTCCATTTATTAAAAAGGAACACGTGTCGCATGTTTTTTAACGTCAAAATAGTGAAATACAAAGAAATTGCTGTGAAGAATAATTTACTACTATTTTTATTTTTATTTTTATTTTTATTTGAAGAGAGTCTTAGGTTTGATATCAACTTATTTATTAGATGACAAATATGATGGAATTCCCTAGTGCTATTATTTTCAATATTCCTTGAATAAAAAGCAATTTGATTTTGAATTAATCTATTTGTACATGGAGGTTTACACTCCGATTGACACGGTCCCACTCGACATCTCACATGGAAGCGGTCGGGGTCCACACCCAAATGTGTGGGGCCGACTTCTTCATGTGAGATGAGAGGTGGGCCCTTATCAATCGGAGTGTAAGGGTCCATGTACGAGTAGCACAACCCATTGATTTTTAATGTCAAAAATCTCTTTATGTTTAAAAAATAAAAAGAAAAAGAAAGTAAAAGATATGTTGAACCTCCAAATGAAAAGGGAATTTGGTAGACCAATGAATTCTCACCATGTCACAAAAGGCCAAATTACTTTCCAACAAAGATAAATCCTCTCATGTCATGTCTCTACATTGGTGGTTCGGATAGCCGCCAGCCACATTCACCATTTAACATGTTTATATGTATACCTCTGTATTAATGTTACAATTTCTTTAGTTCGTCATTGATTGCATCTACATACCTCTTTATTAATGTTATTAATTTTTTTACTTCGTCATTGATTGCATCCAATTAGTTAATAGATAATAATTTATCAGGACGATTACTATAATTAGCATAAGAAATCGAAGATGATCAATTATACCAAAAGAAATAGTACATGATAGGCTAAGTTTGAAAATGACTTATAAGTAATTTTAAAATAATCAAAATTTTTATTATTCGAAAATATAAAGAAGCGTCAAATTAATGTTAAATTAAATAAAAATGAGGAAAAATTAATCCAAAAATGTTTAAAATAAAAATTTTAAAAATAGTATCTCCTAGTTACTTTTAAACTTAGCCTAACCGTCCCCCTGGTGCGGCTCTTTACCTCTCCTGGGCTACACCTGCAGCCAACCCAAGACTACAGCCCACCTCACAAGAAAACACGAAATAAAGGCAGGCTAAAACAAACCCATATGCGCGTTTAACTTTCTTGTTTTTTCTCTCTGTTTACAGCAATTAGGCATGCGGTATATCAACGTTTATGTATCTTTTCACAAAGAAAAATATCAAGAAACTAAGGGTCGGTAGTTTAAGAAAAATATCAAGAAACTAAGGGTCGGTAGTTTAAGGTGAAAATAGGGAGGCTTTTTGTATTGTTGAAGGTTAATAGATATAGTGAAGATGAGGATTGTGAGAAATATTGATTCTTCTGAGTGTATTGGTCTCTGTGGATTCTTGGTTGTGGAAGCTTATCCTAAAAGGTATTCTTCCAAGATCCCCTCAGATTTGGTCCTTTTCTTGGGCCTTGGTTTCATAGACTGGTAATATTCATATATAAATCCAAAAAGATTGAGTCTATTGCAGATATGATTTTCATTTGAGACTATGGATTTCGTGAATATGTTTCAACTCTATTCCACCTGTGTTTGGAGGGTTCATGGAGATTCTTGGTGGTTTGGATTAGATATAGTCTTCATCTAGCTTTTTATTAATTATTTGATCATAGGTCAGGTATTGTAAGTCTTACTTATTTTGAAATTTCCCTCTCTGTTTATTTCTCTCTTGATTTTCTTGATAATCTTGTTGCCGTTTTCAATTTTAATATTTGCGGAGAGAAAAAGTTTGGTTTAGGAATACATTTTCCTTTTGACCTAGGGCTTGTAGAATTTAGTTCAAGGGGTGTATGTCGTTGAAATACAGTTATGAGATGAATATATTAAGATTTCGATGAAGCTGGGCATTTGTAGCTGGGTTCAACATGATGGAGGTGTTTATGAAGATAGGTCTTTTTTTCAAATTGTTTATTGGTTTAAAGTTTATAGATACACCGTCGGCAATTGATATAAGACAAAAGGGTAATTCTTGAGATGGAAGGTACTCTGCTAACAGCTTTGTCAATGGAGAATCATCACCCTTCAACCCTCTTATCCATGGACTCAAGTGCCTCGTCTTCACATGAAGAACTAGACATCGAAATGAATCGCCAAGTTGTTTTAACCTGTCCGCCTGATATCAATTTACCCCTTTCAGCTGAGCGAAGCCCCCCTTCACAGCCTTGGAACCCTGAACACTGTGATCTTCTTGATGTTGGACTAGGCTCCCAGATGTATGAGACTGAAAGTTTTCTCAGTGTCCCCAAAGTTGGGAGGAAATGTGCAAAAAGGATTGATAGCATCTGGGGTGCTTGGTTTTTCTTTAGCTTTTACTTTAAGCCCGTATTGAATGAGAAATCAAAGGCAAAAATAGTTCGTGACAGTAATGGGGTTTCCGGGTTTGATAAATCTGATATCCAGCCCGATGTTTTCATGGTTCAGCATGATATGGAAAATATGTACATGTGGGTTTTCAAGGAAAGGCCTGAGAATGCTCTGGGTAAGATGCAGCTCCGGAGTTATATGAATGGGCATTCTCGTCAGGGAGAGCGTCCCTTTCCATTTAGTGTTGATAAAGGTTTTGTTCGATCTCATAGGATGCAGCGTAAGCATTATAGGGGACTCTCAAACCCTCAGTGTGTTCACGGCATTGAGGTGGTTCCATTACCCAATCTCACGAGTCTCGATGAAGATGACCGAAGAAGATGGACTGAACTCACAGGGAGGGACCTGAACTTCACTATTTTCCCTGAAGCAAGTGATTTCAGTTCATGGAGAAATCTGCCGAACACTGAATTTGAACTTGAGAGGCCACCACCTCCAATAAAGAGCAGTTCACATTCCCACTCAAAGAAATTGCTTAACGGATCCGTGTTAAATCTTTCAACTCAGACATCCAATCACATAAATGCGGACGCGATGGATCTATCACCCATGAGCAACAAGAGGAAGAAGGAATTCTTCTCACGGGGTAATGATGATGATTGCTATTTGGAAATATCTGCTCCTCCCGAACGTATCCTGGATCTGGAAATTCACCCAGACGAGCCACACTGGCTGAATGAATTTAGTGGGGTGCTGAGAAACGTCTATGGACCTGTCACGGCTGCCAAAACAATCTACGAGGATGAAGAAGGTTATTTGATTGTAATCAGCTTGCCTTCCGTTGATCTTCAGAGGGTGAAAGTTTCATGGAAGAACACACTCACACACGGAATCATCAAGATCTCTTGCATTAGTACATCTCGCACACAATTTATCAAGAGACACAACAGAACTTTCAAGCTTACAGATCCATCATCGGAACACTGCCCTCCAGGAGAATTTGTCAGAGAAATCCCACTTTCAACCCGAATCCCTGAAGATGCTAATATAGAAGCATATTATGACGGACCAGGAACAGTGCTCGAGATATTGGTGCCAAAACTTCGTGCTGGGCCAGAAGAACATGAAGTTCGTGTTTGCCTTCGTCCTCACCATGCGGGCAATGGACTTAAGTTGACATAGATATGTACCTGATATGCAGTTGTTATGAATGGCTCTCCATTGTGCAGTAATGTCGTGTACTTATTTTTGTAAACGCAATTGAACCGATTCTGCATCTTAAACTCCTTGTATCTGTTTCCGTAATTGCTATGGTTTTGTTCCAATGTATCTGACTAGCTTTGATTATTTCTCCTATTGCTATTGCCATTATATTATCAATTAATTTGTCATTACCTCTGCCATATATTTATTTCATGGTTGGAATGATGAAATAATATCAATCAGGACTACCAATTTTGTTGTATTTTCTCCCTGTAAATTGCTATTTAGTTTTAGCACCCTATGCTTTTACTCTTTCTTGAAACTGTATTCATGGCACAAATAAGGCACAACTAGCTTTACTTCAACCCTAGGAGAGCTCCTGGGAGTCATTGATATGCTATGTCCGGCTTAACAATATTTTTGATACGTTGGGCCGGAGCTTCTTATTCATTTTAGCTATACCTATTTAAGCTCTTGCATGAACTTTGACATTGACTGACTGACTTCATACCATTAGCTGTCCGGTTCAGTGGTGCCACGTTGGGAAGTCATGTTCGACAGCTTCTGTTCTTATAATTGGATGTCTTCTTGTAGGACATCATTTTCTGTGGACCTCATAGTAAGGCAAGTTCTAGTGAACGACTTTCCTGGCTAATTGACATTAGTGATGAGAGAAAGGGACTTGAACGATCCACCATACGACTAGAAAAAGGATGGAGAAAAGTGTCAAGCGTGATAGGTGTAGAAGTGTGAGAAACCATATGCGCTTGTTCACATGACCATGTCCCACTTCTTTAATAATTCAAGTTAGTTGAGTTAACTGTTTGCGAGAGAAGTTTTTATACCATTTGATTCGATTGGTTGTGGAAGCTGACTCAAATTTAAGTTGTCATTATGCTAAAAAGTAAAATTTACTTCGAAGTAAATTTTGTCTAACTAATTCACTTTTATACCGAATGCCATGCATTAGAAAAATATCTCATGAAAGATAAGGCCCCATGTTGCTTAAATTGTTCAATTGCTCTAATTTTGACTACATCAACTTTCTTTATGTTACAGCAAATATGTCAACGACATTTCGCATTTAGAGTTACATTCAGAAAATCATATTTAAATCTCCATTAAGAGCTACTGATTTTAGGAAACAAATTTCATAAGCATAGATATAATTCGATTGATTAAGTTACAAAGATCATCAACACATCCGCCCCAACACCCGAGGAATGGAGATCCTCGACAATACCAACACATACCCACTTTGATCATGTGTACAGGAAAGGTAGGTGACAATACCCAGAACTCGGTTGAACTAAAATGTAAGGTAAGATCCCAATTGTTGCAGTACTCATCTGGTCAGCTTTTGCCACCCGCTATATTCTTATCATAAAAGGATCTTACATCACGAAGAAAAATTCTAAACAATTACTAATATCCAGAAATAATGCCAAATTCAATGGAACATATTGTCAAAACAGGCTTCGAATTAATGAATACTAATATTTTCAAAGCCTAAATTCCAAGCAAAGGATTGTCCGCAAATTAAGATAGTAGTAAAACATCACAAAAGGAACACTGGATTTAGTCAACTTCCTCGATCTTAGGACCAGCTCCGCTACCACTAGGGGCAGGACCGTCGTCATCCATGGCAGCACCACCCATACCGCCCATATCACCACCTGCACCCTGGTACATCTTTGCTATAATGGGATTGCAGATGCTCTCCAGCTCTTTCATCTTGTCCTCAAACTCGTCTGACTCGGCTAGCTGATTCCCATCCAGCCACTGGATGGCTTGCTCAATGGCATCCTCAATCTTCTTCTTATCAGCTTCGGGGAGCTTGGATGCAATCTTCTCATCCTTTACAGTGTTCCTCATGTTGTATGCATAGTTCTCCAAAGAATTCTTTGCCTCAACCTTCTTCTTGTGCTCCTCATCCTCAGACTTGTACTTCTCTGCTTCCTGAACCATCTTCTCAATATCCTCCTTCGAAAGTCTACCCTTGTCATTGGTAATTGTGATCTTGTTCTTCTGCCCAGTGGTTTTGTCCTCAGCAGACACATTCAAGATACCATTAGCATCAATGTCAAAGCAAACTGTGATCTGAGGAACTCCCCTAGGTGCAGGAGGAATCCCTGAGAGCTCAAATTTACCTAGCAAGTTGTTGTCCCTAGTCCTTGTTCTCTCTCCTTCAAATACCTGAATCAACACACCTGGCTGGTTATCTGAATAGGTAGAGAATACCTGCTCCTTCTTGGTTGGGATGGTAGTATTCCTGGGAATCAACACAGTCATTACACCGCCTGCAGTTTCCAGACCGAGGGAGAGAGGAGTAACATCCAAAAGTAGAAGGTCCTGCACCTTCTCATTGCCCTCACCGCTTAAAATTGCAGCTTGAACAGCAGCACCATAAGCAACAGCCTCATCTGGGTTGATACTCTTGCAGAGCTCCTTGCCATTGAAGAAGTCTTGCAACAATTGCTGAACCTTGGGAATCCTAGTAGAACCACCAACAAGAACAACGTCATGGATGGTGCTTTTATCCATCTTAGCATCCCTCAAGCACTTCTCAACTGGTTCCATACACTTTCTAAATAGGTCCATGTTAAGCTCTTCAAATCTGGCACGAGTGATGGTGGAGTAGAAATCAATACCCTCGTAGAGAGAGTCAATCTCAATTGTGGTCTGGGCAGTGGATGAGAGAGTCCTCTTTGCTCTCTCACAAGCAGTCCTCAACCTCCTCAGAGCCCTGGGGTTACCGCTGATGTCTTTCTTGTTCTTCCTCTTGAATTCCTGAACAAAGTGATTGACCATTCTGTTGTCAAAATCCTCACCTCCAAGATGAGTATCACCAGCAGTGGCCTTCACCTCAAAGATACCCTCCTCAATGGTAAGAAGAGAGACATCAAAAGTACCGCCACCAAGATCAAAGATCAAGACGTTCTTCTCACCTACACTTGTTGCCTTCTTGTCAAGGCCATAAGCAATAGCAGCAGCTGTGGGCTCATTGATGATGCGCATCACGTTGAGACCAGAAATGACACCAGCATCCTTGGTAGCTTGACGCTGGGAATCATTGAAGTACGCTGGCACAGTGACCACAGCATTCTTGACAGTTGAACCAAGGTATGCTTCGGCAATTTCTTTCATCTTTACTAACACCATGGAAGAGATTTCCTCAGCTGCAAATTGCTTCTCTTCACCCTTGTAGTTGACCACTATCATGGGTTTGTCAGCAGCTCCAGCCACGACCTTGAAGGGCCACAACTTGATGTCACTCTGTACAGAGGCATCACTGTATCTCCTACCAATTAACCTCTTAGCATCTACAAATGAGCAAAAATCATCACTATGTATACAGATCTTGAATAGACAGGCAAGAATTTAAATCTTTCAATGCCAATTAAAAACATATAAATGATTAAATAATAGTTCTAAGAGCATTGATGGGCTATGGGGTAATGTATCTATGTATCTATTCCAACTTATACAAGCAAATAACTTTAAATAATGATTATGCCCTTGTTTGAGTCCCATTTTTGTATAATAATGTATTTTGAAATAGTGATTTTTGGAGAATGTGTGGTTAAAATATAAGAAAAAGTTTCCAACCTACGTGTAAAATTCTTTTATAGAAGAATGTGTGATTGAAAATGAACTTTGAAAAGATAAATTTTTGAAAAAAATGGGAACCAAACATAGGCTATATATTGACAAGTCCAAATAAATCATCAAATCACCATCACACTTGTCCTTTGAATAAGTACAAACATTGTTGTACAGCTTGCTCATAAAGTAGGCTGCATGTTTAATTTGTTTAGAATTTGGAGGCAAAATAAAAACACATAATGACAAAAGCTGCATAACATGAAATTCCAATCTTCACATTCAATTATAATGTGATTGGTTGTACAGCTTGTTCATTAAGTAGACTACATGCTTTGGTTTTTATAATTTTACAGGCAATATAAAAAACACACGAGAACTGCAAAGTGCGCAACACAGCCTAAATTTAGCAGCTCCCCTTGCGGAAGAAAATCTTTTAGACAAAAGCCAAGTGTCCTGTGTGAAGACCAACTCTGTAAACAAAGTGTAAAAATTCCATAATTGAGAGAATTCCTATTTCCCCAAGATTTGAAATCATGAGTGTAGCTCCTCTAATAGATAATAACCGTAAGCAGGCACGATTAATTTTCAGATCTCCAAAACGTGTAAAAACGAGGGCCTGCTCCAAACTGGGGCCAATGACCACTAAACAAATTACAATTAGCAAAATAAAACTTTCATGTACATTATCACTGGAGTAAATACAATTGGCAAATTTCATAAAATAGATCTAATTATCGTTCCACAAAAGAAAGCAAATTTGCACGCATAAGCATTCACATTAATTATTAATTACAGGTCAACGTCCAGAAAAGAAAAGCGCTATCATAAACTCTTTCACTAGTCACATAACAGATTTTGTAAATCGAAACATAAGGTCGAAACACAAACTTGACTCAGTACACCTATTCAAATCAAATAAAGTATGTTCCAGACATAGGTCCGTAGAAACAACGCAAAAGTACAAATACAGAGAAGTTCATGTATCTATAGTGGAAGGAAGGGACCACGGATCTTACCAAATACGGTGTTAATCGGGTTCATGGCAACCTGGTTCTTGGCGGCGTCACCGATAAGGCGTTCGCTATCAGTGAACGCAACATAAGACGGCGTCGTTCTGTTACCCTGGTCATTGGCGATTATTTCAACACGGTCGTGTTGCCACACGCCGACACAAGAGTAGGTGGTTCCTAGATCTATTCCAATCGCCGGTCCCTCTCCTTTTCCTGCCATTTCCTCTCTTTACGTCGGCGAGTTTGAGAAAAAGGAGAGAGTTAGAGAGTATTTTCGTAAAACTAGGGTTTGTGAGGATTAAACGGCGGAGATGAAATAGTATTTAAACGAGTAGCAGCGAGTTGGATTTCGTCTTCCAGAATGTTCGAAAAGTCCACATTCTTTTTACCCTTTTTAACCCGTTTTCTATTTTCGATTTTTGAAAACAACGAAAACGGGTTCTCTTTTCCATTTTTGAAAATGTATTTCTAAAAATAAAAATAAAAAAATTGTACAAAAAATGCAAAACAGCAAAATCGTCGTTTTGAACGTTTTATGTGCAAAACACCAAAATCCTTTAAAACGCGAAAAA